TCCCGAACTACTCCCAACCTTTCCGTGTGGAGGTTGTAACTGATGCGTCCCTGCATGGTATGGGAGCAGTACTGCTGCAAAACGGGAGACCAATTGCTTTTACTAGTAAGAAGTTCTCGGGGGCTGAAACCCATTATACCACTGGGGAACAAGAACTTCTTGCTGTACTGCACGCGCTTAAGGAGTGGCGGTGTTATCTGGAGGGTCGGCCGTTCACCCTCAAAACCGACCACAAACCCCTAACGTTTCTGTAAGGCGTGCCTACCCTTAACCGTCGTCAAGCCCGGTGGATGGAATACCTTAGCCGGTTTGACTTCACATGGGAATACCTGCAAGGCATCCTTAAAGTTGCTGATGCCTTAAGTCGGCACCCTTGTCTGCATGCAGCCATTCTGTCAGTCGTTACACGCACCCGTGCTGCAGCACCCGTTGTGCCCTCTGAACTTGTGCAACGACTTCGAGCTGCCTATGCCACGGATCCCTGGTTTTCCGATAACCACAATACTGGCCATTTAACCCGTAACAGTGGCCTTTGGATCCGCACTGAGGGTACTTTTCGGCAGGTTGTCGTTCCGAATGATGACTTGCTGCGTCATGATCTCCTGTCACATTTTCATGACGACCCGCTGGCTGGGCACCCTGGCTGCACCCGTCTGGTCGAGGTTCTCCGTCGTCAATTCTGGTGGCCTCGGATGGCTAAGGATGCCGAGAACTATGTCCAGAACTGTGAGCTGTGCCAATGCAATAAAGTCCTGTCTGGTAAGCCCCACGGCCTCCTGTGTCCCTTGCCTGTGCCGGCCGCCCCTTGGGAAAGTGTTACCATGGACTTTGTTGTAGCTTTGCCCAAAACTGAGGGGGGATTCGATGCCGTTTTGGTCATGGTAGACCGACTCACGAAAATGGTGCACCTGGCACCTACGGTATCATCCTGCACAGCTGAGCAAACTGCACGTCTGTTCTTTGACAATATAGTGCGTTTGCATGGTGTCCCCAAGAATGTTGTGACCGACCGCGGATCACAATTTGCCAGCAGATTTTGGGGCACCCTGGGTGATCTGTTAGGCATGCGTGTTAACCTGAGCACTGCCTATCACCCACAGACTGATGGACAGACAGAACGTACGAATCGCACTCTTGGCGATATGTTGCGCAATTATGCCGGATGTACGCCTTCTGTCTGGGACACATATCTAACTGCTGCTGAATTCACGATTAATAATGCTGTGAATCGTGCGACTGGCAAAAGTCCGTTTTTCCTGAATTACGGATACAACCCTGCCTTGCCTGTTTGGCGGGAGTTGGACGTCAACTTGCCTGCAGCAAAGACGTTTGCCAAGTCCTTTGTGTCCCGACTGACTGACGCTAAATCTTGCCTTGAAGCTGCACAGCAACGTACGGCGGACTACTTTAACAAATCCCGACGTGCCATCACCTTCTCACAGGGCCAGTTGGTGATGCTGAGCACTAAGAACCTGAGGTCCCTAGCGGATGGTTCTCGTAAGCTTTTACCTCGTTGGGTGGGACCATTTCCTGTCGTTCGCATGGTTGGGTCTACTGCAGTCGAGCTGCAACTACCACCTGACATGCGCATCCACCCCACATTCCATGTCTCTCTAGTCCGACCTTTCCGTACTACTGACACTGCTGCTGCACTTCAGCCAAAACCTGCTCCTACTGTCACGGAGCCAGGACCAGTTACTTGGCTTTCAGGCAAGCAGACATTTTACGCGGTTGAACGGATACTGGATTACCGTTCCCGAAAAATAGGCAGAAACCGCCGCCGTAAGCGCACTGTGCATGAGTATCTTGTCAAATGGGCTGGGTACTCGGCTGAGCACAACAGTTGGGAACCAGAAGCTAACTTTACCCCTGATCTGAAACCTCTGCTAGAAGAAGCACGGCAAAGAGCACGGGCGAGGTAAGATTTGCGGATTTAAGGTAAGTGTTTTAACTCCCGCGCGTTTTGGCCCGATTCTGCTCTGCCAGTTTCTTGCCATGCATCGAGGACGCTGCATCTAGAGGGGGGATAGTTGTTGTATTCCGCTTCTTAAATCTGGTCCCAAACTGATACATTTTCTGTCTTATTTTTCCTTTCTCGCTTGGCGCGTTTACTGGACAAATTCGCTGGAACTAACTGAATTCCAACTGCCTATTTTGCCGCTTTTCTGTCAGATCTTTTATGGCTCCGACCTCTGGGTCAGACGGCGAGCGGGACGCTGTCATGGATGCCTACAAGTAAACGCCGCCTCAGGCGGAAGTCCATACTTGCAGAAGTATGGGCGGGGGTCGTAGCACAGGCTACGACTGGGACGCTGGTCCCTGGCTCGCGGAGCCCCGTCATCGATTGGAAGCATGGATCAACGGTACGCCATTCCGGACTGGACCGCGCCTTTTCGGAACTGGCTGTATGATTCATGGGGTGGCCGCATCCTCCGCTATGTAAGCGGGCGAAACTCTTCCAAATCGGTGTCTTCCGACGCCACCATCCAGTTGTGGTTTAGTAAGATATAACAGTGGCCAACACATGCTTAGGTTTTCATTCCTCGTTTAGCACATCGTAAGGTAATGCAGTTTCGTTTATGTTGCTGGGCTTTGGAGGCAAACAGAGCACGAAGGGGCATGTACCACGTCCCCAGGGGGCAGCGGATTTGCCACTGTTGTGGTACTAATAGCCGAATTGAGGATGTGAACCCCTGTTATTGGAATGCCCAGCCTATAATGATATTCGTGCTGAAGAGGGATTCGATCATCAACAGAGCATGTTGGAGGCCATGAAATGGGAACCCGCACGTCTGGCGAGGATATTGGAACGTATGTGGGCTCACCGAAACTCAATTACCCCCTTTAGAGGCCCTATGGCATAAAACGAGGGGTAACCCCCCCCTTAAGCATAACCCAGGGGTTAGGGGTAGGGGTAAGGGTAGGGGTAAGTGGTTACCCATGTGGCTATGTACGAAGGGAGGTGGGTAACCTAACCCCGGGGTAGGGGTAACCCCTTACCAAGGGGTAAGAAAGGGGTCGGGGTAACCCCTTACCAAGGGGTAACAAAGGGGTCGGGGTAATATTGTACTGAGGGGTAACAGACAGGGTAACCCGTGTTTACAAGTGTTCCTTGTCCGTATGCCGGGCCATATGCTGGTGTCAATGGATTGTAAGCATGTCCCTGTCCAACCTGCCTACACATGCTATCACAGCTGTCTCATCCATCTATGTGAGCACGTATGCCTATTTCGCCTATGTAAAAAAATATTTGCATGCCTCTCTATACACTTCCATCCATGCATATGTCTGTATCAAGCTCACATGTCTACACATACAAACATACATGTTCACCAAACACTTCGAGTGTACAATTGTAAAGATTGCCTTACCAACACAAGCCTTGCAGGGCTGTAGAGCCCGCCCATGGCCCCAGGCTCGGGGTGTGTATAAACTCGCTAATTACACCAACGTCATCATATCAAGAGAAAGGAAATCAGACCCAGCCCCCAGATTCAGTTCCGTATGATCTGATGTACGGCTCCATACACATGTCTCACTAAATGAGTTCCTGACTCCGATAATCAAATATCGGATAATCAAATATTTCTCCGATATTTGATTAATCCGAGGTCTCCCACCACGGGGACTCTAGAGTCCAGACCTGTTTTGCATGCACGGAAAAGAAATGGCAAAATTTAAGGTTATGCTTAATAACTGTCATACGACAGAAACCGGGAGGATAGCTATAGGTGGCAATACACATATCAGCTGCAGGGTTTTAACATTAGCTAGTGCCCAACTCTGAACAAAACCCAAAACCAAAACCCTGAGAGCACAACTTACTTCACTCACTGCCTATCCGTGGATCAGCTGACCCTCGACGGCGGCGGCTGGTCTTTGCCTGCTCTGCACCAGCCTCAGTTGGGGGTGGTTCCTTTCGCTTCCTACAGCCAGCTGATTGTCGGCTTCCTGCCGGCTTCCTGCCACGGGGATTCTTTCGTTCCACCTCCTCTCCCTCCTCCGTAGTGGGGTTCTCACCCATCTCTGCAGCTGTCCCGTCACCCTCATCACTGGTCGGCGGGTTGGCGGGGTTCTGCTGCTCTTGCTGTCGTGGAACTTGGACAGGGGCGGGAACAAACGCTAAAACTGAATACATACATAGTTCTAAATCTTCTACTAAAATTTTCCTGTAGCGTTAGAGGCCTTTAATTCATATTGGCGAACGATGCTTCCCGAGCTACCGGGATACTGTAGGTTCAACATGTACATGTAACATGTACATTTACAGAAATGTACTAAAATGAATTCACGAAGTGCGCAGCAAATAAGATGAGTAGCCTATAGGCCCATGTCCATAGTCCAGGGCAACGGAGGGGGTTACCCTGGGGCCGTGTTACCCCTCCTGCTGGGTAGGAACTTACAAGGGGGTTACCAATGGGCTACGGGGGGTTGAAGGTGGGTAACCGATGGGTAACCCATGGGTTACCGACCCAATCAGTGCCTTAGGGTGGTCTGGCCGACTTTATTTGTTGGGACGGCCTATGAGGATATCATGAACAGGTTGGACTGCATCAAGCTGTAAACTGCACTAGGTCGCTTTGGATAACCTGGCTGTGGATTCACCTAGGCAATCAGTCACAACTTCACCTGACGTGTTTACAGGGATGGGCATGCATGTGCGTCTTCGTCCCACCCGCCGGGACCAGTGCACACACAATGATAGCCGGGTGTGTGTGATTTGAGCAGCCGACTACAGGCAAATGGGACAGGTGTGGGCAGACAGGGGCCGACGATGGCTGCTCTTTGGATGCTGAGTTTCATGATGCATTGTATGCGGTAGCTGCACTGACGGCCCCTTATGTGTGCAACACGACCTTGAGAGGTATAGATAGATACTTGGCACTGCAACGACTGCTGCAACCGGCAAAGGTTATCCGATGTGGGTTATGTGATTGAGTAGGCTTGCACCCATGCAAGCGGCCGCAGTCTGTTTGGCCTGAACATTCTGTGTGGTGACATCACAGCACTGCCATGGCACCATCGGTGTTGTGACCACTCTTCACACACTGCAGGGCAGCGGCAAACAACAAGGCATGCCCGTGGGTATGAGACATCAATAACTGGGGCAAAACCGTGTCTGGGCATGGTCTCCACATGGGACATTTCGCTACTGCTCCTACAAGGTGTGTCTGCTTCCTGCCTCCCGCACTCTGACAATGTGTGTCGGCTTCCTGCCTCCCATGCTCTGGCAAGCATAGCTCCCACAGCATCAGCACTGCTGCAACAAGCACAGCTCCCACCACGTTAACACTACCCATTAATTGTCACACATGCCGCCCTAGCTACCGGCCTGTATGGATGCAGAGGGATCCCACTCTTTTGTCGGCTTCAAGGAAGCTGACACAGCTTGTTGATTCGGAGTCACACACACCACCACCATCTGTCAGCAACATCAGCAACGAAATGCACCAGCCGACAATCCTCAGCGTGATAAGATGTAATACAACGACGACACTAAGGGCTGCAGGTCAACCTGCTGCAGTGCTGGCACAGCCGCTGCCAAGAGATGATAATTCGGACAGTTAAGGATACCTCCTCTCACATCTCACACACTTAAACCTTACATTACACATATACAGACTACAACGTACCTGAAAACCCGCAACTGCAGTTTTCCACCAGAATCCACCTCTAAGACTTCCTCAATACACAGTCCTGCAAGTCAAAGACGCACACAGAAGTGCCCCGACCTCCCAAACCCCACAAACACTCCCAACAGTCCCCAAGGACCCACTTCTCCAGTGCTCAACAGCTCCCCCAGCATTACTACCATGGCCACGTAAGCAACCAGCCATCATTTCTATCAACCCCTCACCATCGACCCGTCCGGTCCATAAATATGACCACCACCATCACAATCGACCCACACGGTCTCAGCCCCCGGTTCCGATCTCGTCCCTCAAGGAACGCACCTGCGCCATCAACACTGCGTGTGCGCTTGCAAAGTCGTACCCTCCCATGGCCCAGCCCGGAGACGGAGCCGCCGCCTCCCCATACCTGACACCCGTACATGCCGTCACTCCGGCTCCCCTTCCCCTGCTACCATCACCACTCCCCGCTGCTTCAAGCTGCTTCCAACCCACCATGAATTCCTCCTCCAACAACGCCAAGCCTTCTTCCAATTGTGGCCTTGCCCCGCCGGCCCCTCTTCGAGCAACTGTACCACCCCTGCCGCCACCGCTGCCACTGTCAGCAGCGCCGCTGTACTGCAGCCGCAGTACCCTCAGGACTGCAGTGAAGCCCCTGGTCAGTAGCTCGGACTGGCTGGCGGGATGCAGACCTGCTAGCGCCTTCACCAGGGGCTTCAGCAAACTAGTGGCCACCTGTTGTGATGTGGAGGGTGTCCCTCCACCTTGGAGGCCAACTGCTCCGTCTTTCACCTGCCCATTCGTGCTGTTGCTATTGCTGCTGATACTGCGGCAGATACGGGCGGCTCTCTGCCCCATCTCCTCCTCCAAAACGCCTCCTGCACGCGCAGCAACCACCCCTAGCTGCAGGCAGACTGCTCGTAGCTGCTGCAGAAGGCTAGCCTCTGCATCGCTGAGCACTAGCAGCGTTAGCAGCGGCGGCCTGGAATTGTCCGTAAGCTGCCGCTGGTGCAGCAACTGGTGCCGCACTCCTTTCTTCCCTCCTGGCCCCGGAGTGGTCCTGCCGCCCCGGCTCCTCCGCCTATCCCTACCCGGTTCGCTGTCGCTGTCGCTGTCGCTGTCCGGCTCCAGCGGGCAGTCCGTGGCACCACCGCCGCCTGGGCACACAGTCCCTGGGGTCCCGCAGGCAGTGGCGGGAGCGGTCGCCACACCCCTGCACGCCCGGGGACCCAGCTGAGACCGCCGGCCCTGAGGTGACGTAGCCGCCGCCGCGGCTGCCCTGACGTGTGCGCCAACCGCTGCCTCCAAGTGCGACGTGGAGATGCTGCACAGCGGTGCAGGTGGAGGCAAAGGTACCGGCTCAATGGGCTCCCCGGCCCAGCAGCCGCGGCTGACGGAGGGCCGGGTACCCCCGCCGGCTCCAGCTGCAGGGCTCCCCGCCTCCTGGGTGCGCTCAGACACACCATGCACTGTGCTGCCGCGACCGGCGGCGGCACGCTCCGTACGGTACGGCATGATGCGTCGAAGCGACCGACGCCAATTAATCTTGTGTGGTGATGGACGCAGGTCACAAGTAACAGCAGTAGCAGCAGCAGCTGACGCAGGCTCCCTGCGGGAAGGACTCCCCCTGGTCACATGGCTCTTACCGCCGCCATCGCCGGCGGTCTGTCCCAGCGAGCCACTGTTGTCAGCCTTCGCAGCCGCAGGAAATCGCTGCCGTGCTGTCACCGGCGACAGCGTCGCTGCCTCACTTCCTATCGCTGTCCGTCGGAGCCCCGATAGCTGGTGCTGCTGCCCACCGCACAAGGCCGCCGTCAGGCCTAGCAGCGCCTCACCTACCGACCCAAGGGTCAGTGCGTCGCTGTGTGCTACACACAGCGGCAGCAGGTCCGTGCCCGACCCAGGGCCGTACATGTGCAAGGCCATGTGCACGAGGCGGTTGGTAGCGGCGGCGCATACCGAGACAGCCGTGTGTAGGAGCAATGCCCGCCCGGTGGGGTGCACCAGGTAAATGCGGTGGTGGTGGTGGTAATGGTGGTGGTGTGAAGCTGAGGAGCCGCTACTCGGGTCCTCACCGTGGAGGGGATACGGTGGTGCGGCCACAGTGAAGGAGCTGCGGCCACCCACTGCGGCACAAGCTCCTCCTCCGGAAGCACGGGGAGCTGCAGCCGCCGCGGCTGCTTCTGCAGGGTCCGAGGCCTGGCTGGAGCTGCCCCAGCGGTACACCGGCACACCGCGCTGGTGGTGGGGGCTGCTGCTGCTACAGGCAGTTGAGGCACAGAGCGCTGCACCCAGCAAGATCACCCGGCCTGCAGAAACGAACAGCGCCTCGAGGGTGCGCGCAGCCGCCGCTGAACAGTCGTCACACGCCTCAGGCCCGCGCTCAGCCGCTGTCGTTGTTGCTGCCACCGCTGCACCGGTCTCAACCTGGCTCTCCACCCCGCAGGCCCACATCCTCTCCGCATTAACGCACCCGCCGCTCGGCCCATCGGCAGCTGGGGGTCCTTTCCCCCCCGCTCCCAGACCCGCCGGTGCGTCCACAGCCCCCCTACATGCTGCCGGGGCAGCAGGTGCACCGCCTGGGTCGACTCCACCAACGAAATTGCCAACGCTGGCGCCCGCACCCCTACCCCCTCTGCTGCACCCTATCGCCCTCCTGGTAGTCACCCAGGCCGCCGCTTTGGCAGCAGCGGTGGCGCGTGAAGCAGCTGTGCCGTCAGTGGACGGAAGTGGCTGGATGCCCGCTGCCGCCAGCACCGTGGCGCCTGCGGCTCTTGCACGGGCCTCAATCCACGGGCTGACGGGGCGGTGCGGAAGGCGCAAGAGGACGGTGCAGGGAGCTGGGAGCAGGGACAGGAGTTGCGTAGGGTGGCAAGCGGACTTATCGGCCGCCAGGGCTGCCTCCTCGCCCGCTGTTAGGCTGGGGCCGGGGCCGGGGTTGGGGCCGGGGCTGCCAAGCACAGCCACGCAGTGGCTGGCCTCCAGCAAACAGTGCGTCTCGTGGAGAAAGGAACAGACGGCGGTTACCAGCGCTGCCTGACGCTGCCGCCGAGCCGACCTGGCCTCTCGCCCGGCAGCAGCGCCCGGCAGCAGCACCCTCCCATCAGATAGCGATCTGCGAGTATGCGGCCAGAGGAGGTGGGGGAGCGGGGTACCGCGATGAGTGGGGTTTACGGAGCCCCTGGTCGTGTTGTGATGTGATGTGGCATGGGGGGTTGCTACGTAGCGTGACATGACGCTGCTCCCACGGGGATCCAGGTAGGTGGCTGAAAGAGTGAGTGGCTAAGAGGGGCCGCAATTTGGCTAAGTATGGCGCAATCAGCCCCACCCTCCGTGTCCCTCTCTCTCTCCGGCAGTGTGCGGCCCCTTCCCTCCAGCACTGAAGTGCTCACCGCGACGACAACGTTTGTCGGAGCGACATCAGCCCGCGGATGGTGCTCAGTCGAGACACGCGCCTGGGCGGCAACTCCACCACCAGGCCCCCTCCCGCCAAGGGCAAGTCCGTCACGACAGCTGAGTCTACACAATCCTGCGCCGCCACACCGGGCCCGCATGGAGACAAAGCCGCGATGTCCGGTAGGGACGCAGGGGGCGGGGCCAGGGGCGGCAAGCTCTGGGCGCTGGACGACCGGTTAGGAGGGCGGGAATGAGAGGTGGTGGTGGTGGTAGTGGTGGGCTGCGATGTCGAGTTGTCGCCACCGCAGGGCGGCACGCGGGTCGATCCCGGGTCAGAGGTGAGGGAAGAGGCGGGATGTCTGCCGCCGGGCCGCGGCAGCGGCGCTGAAACCACCGAGGCAGCTGGGCCGGCAGTAGCAGTTGCAGTAGCAGTTGCAGTAGCAGTTGCAGTAGCAGTTGCAGCGGCAATGGCAGTGGCGGCGGCGGCGTCCATGCTGCACGGCGGTGCCCCGGACAACTGCACGGAGAAAGATCGCAGGCCGTCGCAGGTAAAGGAGGAAGCGCACGGGCTTGCGTGCACATCTCGCCGAGTGCGAGTCGGCCGTGTCTCGTTATATATCGCTGTCGGGAAAGAGAACGTTTGAGAACGTTCAGGTTTAAAGCCGGAGAAAGCCACCCCTCTGCAACACAGCCCCCAACGCCCCAAAGTCATATACAGCCCATATAATGCCCCCTCTGCTTCCCTACTAAGAGGCCCCCGACATTCACATACATACAGACGTACCCGTCGCATGCGCCGCGCAACGTCCTCTTCCAGCACCTCGTCAGCCAGCACCTGCCGCAGCTGAGTCAGCACCTCCAGACTCGTCACTCGCAGCTGGTGTTGCCCGCTGGCTCGCAGCACATGTTGTCCCGCCTTTTCCTCCGCCTCCGCCTCCGCCTGCGTCGGTGTGCGGGATCCGGAACGTCCCGGGAGGTTTCATTCGGTGGTTTCTGTGGTTTAGGTTGCATCACCACCACCATCACCAGTAACACCAACAACATCATCATTATCAACCGGCCCGATATCACCGGTCATGAGTAAAAGACCTTGCTGATCAAGGTGGCCGTATGGGACGGTGCACGAATACCACCACCTACCCACGCATAGAATACCAACCACGCCCCTTCCCTGCCGTGGTGACGGAATCGGAATCGTACCGCATCGGCACCCCTACCTCTGATACCCATCAGGGACACAAGCAAGCACATCCAAAGTACCATCACATGCGGTACGACACAAACAGCACTTCCTCCTCGCCCTCCTTTTCCTCTTTGCAGCTCCTGGAGCGCATTGCCGTACACAGTACGGCGATGTCGACACCCAAAATCTGGGACCAGATCCCGCCCGGTGCTAAACCCCGGAATCACTCCGGACCCGCCCTGGTGTGTGTGTGTGGGGGGGTGGAAACCGTGAAACACACAACACAAAGCCATGATCCGATGTCACACGGCAGGCTCTTGCTCCGCACTCCCGCACCCGCCGCAGCAATTCCCCACCCCCCCCGCCACCGCCCGGGTGGAACTCACCACCCCGGGGTAAGTCTTTGTAAAGTCACATACACCCGAGACGTGCGCCTCGGAATCTGAGAGCCGTACATTCACCTCTCACCGTCGACGAAGTAGGCTCCCGCCGGAATAGGGTTAGCAGTACGCAACGCAATTACATATTTCCATTACAGGCAATGCCCGCCTGCCTCCAGAACAGGCAACCCGCGTCTTTCTCTATCTTTTCAAAACCCTAGGGCATATTTCTCCTCCATCAATCAATTCTATTTCTTCGTCTTCACTCTCCCTCCCTTCCTCCCATCCCCACCCGACACCCATCCCACCAACCCCAACAACCTGCAGACGCCAAGCCACGCCTGCCCACCTGGCAAGGTGACGTCAGCGCCACCTCCGCAGCTCTCCGCGCACATGCCGACACGAAGCTAGCCAGCAGGGCTTGCGGCGCGGGAGGAGAACCGCACGAGGCCGCTGCCACCGCCGCCGCCGCCGCCAGCTGTCCCTCCGCCGCGCAACCACCTAGCCCCTGGCCCACCTCGAGGGCGGTAGCGCCATCTGCCTTGCCCTCCTTGCCTTCTTCCGCCCCCGCATGACACGCGCCGATCTTCCCCCCATGACATGCGACGTCCTGGACGCCGCCACCAGCTCCCGATACAGCGAAGGAGGAGCCCTGGCCACTGGCTGCGGTCTGATGACTCCGCCGCTCAGCCGACCGGCAGTCCACACTGCGGGTGCCCAGCGCGGTGGCATCCCGGTGGGGGCCGCGGCCCGGGCTCCCCCCAGACCCAATGAGGCCGCCGCCGCCGCCGCCGCCACAACCACCGCCACGCACACTTCGTTCCTGGGATATGGCACCGCTGTGCTTGCGCGTCCAGGCCTGTAAGCGCCAAGGGGATGGGCCAAGGGCGGGAGCCCCCCTAGGTGATCAGCGAAAACTCGCCTGTGCCATCGCCACCCTCCAACCTTGCTCCCGCTTCGCCACCCCGCTTCCCCGGCAGCTGCCTGGTAACCACCGCACACGCAAAACCGGGCAGGCGCTCCCTAGATGCATACACATACTTATCATCATCACCATCGTCATCACCATCATCATCACCACCATTATCACCATCACCATTATCACCATTATCAGCATCCCCTGTTTTGTACAAGCAATGTCAAAAAGAATGTCAAAAGCGCACACCTCCAAGCGCCAATGTACAGTCATGTACAGCCGCCACCACAGTAGCCACTCGACGGCACTCGCGCCGGCGCCGGCGCCTCCGCGGTTCACAGGGGCCCCCTCGTGCGCCTCCTCCTGAGCCGCACCCATGCAGCCGCCAACCGCCGCTGCTGCCCCAGAACCGCGAGCCGTACTCCACGTCAGCGCCATCTGCTCCGCCCCATACTCCGCAAGCCGCGCCAAATGGCCCCCTAGCTGCGCCACATTCGCCCGCCAGCAGTCGAGCAGGGCTGTCGTGGTACGGAGCAGGGCCGCCAGGGGCTCCGGAGCCAGCTCCCACACCAGCACCTCATTCAGGTCACCTGCGCAGGTGCGGTCCACATGGATCCACATGATCAACCGCAGCACAACAACAAAATCAACAACAACCTCAACCCGCATCAACCGGTTGGTGGCTGCCCTCCAGGCGGTGCCACTGCTGGTGCCACGTGGCTGCCCTCCTAGCGGGTGCAGTCCGCCGCCGCCGCCGCCTCCTCCGCCGCCGCCGCACACACCAGGTCCCTCCCGCGGCTCCCGCACCCCGGCTTGAAAGCCGCCGAGAAGGCGCCCAGGCCGATTCCCCCCCAGTGCACCCCATCCAGCAGTGCGTTGTGACCACTCACGCACTCACCGAGCAGGTCCCCCGGTGCCTGCAGGAGAGCGGGCCACACGGAGGAGCCGCGGCGCCACGTGTGGAGGAGGGCCGCGGCCAGGGCGCTGCTGATCAGGGGGTCGGGGTGTGCGCTGGTGCTGGTGGTGGTGCTGGTGGTGGTGGGGGTGGTGGTGGGGCGGTCCAGAGGCTCCATGACAGCGGCTGACATGGAGCAGTAGTTGTACGGAAGTTGGGTGATGTGGACAGATTGCCGCGCGATCGGTGGAGGGAGGATGGTAAAGGAGACGTCAGGCCCGGTTAGTTGGTTAGTTAGTAGTACGGCGCCGCATAGTCGGTGCCAGGCACACACGTGTGGGCCGTGCGGGTGGTGGTGGTGGTGGTTGGTGTGTGGTGACCGCTGTGTGCCGTGGCTCGCCCCGTGCCCCTCGTGCTGGTGTCCCCCCCCCCTCCCGGTCCTGTCCCCCTCCAGCCCCACTCCCGATACACACTTTCCACATCCACCTCGCCCTGGCCAAGTCCACGTCGCCAAGTGGACCGCCTTGTGCAATGGACCCCCCTGCAGCCAGCCGGCCAGCCAGTCGGCACAACCACCTCTTTGCGGCCCCCCTTCGTCTATAGCCCTAACGGCGGCCCCTGCAGCGGACCCTCTTACCCAGGTCCCGCAGCTCCCGCAGCGACGCCTGCCGCAACTCCGTCCAAGCGGCGTCCAGAAAGGCCGCTGCGGCTCTCACCAGGCAGCCGCCTTCGGGGCCGCCCTTCGGGACACGGCAGCAAGGCGAGCAGTGCGGACAGGTTCGCAGCTGTATTCGTGATTGCAGTAAGGAGGTTGAATCGCCGCAGGCTATGGGCGTGTTATGGATGGGCCACCCAGAATCCCCACGTTTCCTGGATGCCGCACTTTCACAATTGAATAGCGAATAGCGAATGCATGGCGGCCCGTCGTCGTCCTACGGGTGGTCCAATAGTCCACCTTTCTTGCTACTCTAGCTTGACTGTAGTACTCGGTAAAGGAAATCAAACCGACCTGCGCCAGAAGCAAGCAACGTGCTGCTCCACTGCACGGAGAGGAGTTTCCTTGCGCCGTGTCCGAGGCAGGCGCCGTCCCTGGGGTCGGTGGAGGGGAGGCACTGTCAGCGATATGAGCTCTTACACAACGACGCTTCAGGGACTTGGATCCGCAATAGCCGCGGCATTTGCCCTTCCCATGCTCCACTCCGAATGCCGTCCATTGCGTCCGTAGGGGTGATCCGTCGAGGTAAGGCCCCGTGAGCGCTATGCACTGGATGACGTACCTGGGCATGCCTTCGAAAGATGCTGCAAAAAAGCGCACTTCCGCAAAATCGAAAGTCCATGCCTGCCTGTGTTCGACCATTGGAATTTTACCGCCTCCTTGCTGTATACAATTAACTTGCTCCACTTAAGTTCCCTGAGGTACACCGAAAAAGCATAAGGTACGCGCTGAAACTTTTGTAAAAGCATAAATAACAGACTTGTGTAAGCACAACATATCAACAGAGTCAGAGCTGCTTACTGATGTTCTAAAGTTGCCTCCACTGACACCACCGCCTGTGCAGCCTGAGCGGCAGCATCAGCCATTCAGTTACGGTGACAATGTACACATCTAGTTGATGACAACGAGTGCTTCGCTTCAGAAAAGATTTCGCCATCGCTTGTACGGCTAGTCTTCTACCATCTTGCTGACCCAAATAGAGAAGGCAGGCATCGGCAGGCATAGGCAGGTATCGGCTGGTTATATTCTCACACAGGAACCGCACGCCTTTAATTGATGTAATCCTGGTAAAAGGCTTAACCCCGGCCGCAGAGATGTCCTGTGCTCTACGCTGTCCCGCGCTGAGTCGCCAGGCGACACCTAACCATGCGCGAAACCTGTCGAAAAACAACCAATTGCTGAGGCAACTAGCAAATTTCCACCCGAACCAACTCAGTAGTTACATTGGCGTCAAGTTGCTGCTGCCGGCCAAAGGTGCGGCATGGCTGTTCGGTGTGGTGAAATCCAGCATACCAATAAACGATCAAGTTGGTGCTGGTGCAGGTCGCGTGGCCACGACGCCGCAGGGTTCCGCCGGTGTCCGCAAGGTGAGCATTGGGGCAGCAGTTCTTCCCCCCAACGCACGTGGACCCGCGGTATTGATTCAAGCAAAGTGCTTACCTGTAATTTCCCTTACCATCTTCTCTTAACCGCAGCCCATACAAATGTCGTTCCTGGGCGTGGGCGCGCCGGAGGCTATCCTTGTCGCGATTGTTGCCCTAGTGGTCTTTGGGCCGAAGGGTCTTGCTGAGGTCAGTTTGATGCAATCCGGCGCCTTGGTACCATGACGACGTTTAAAATCCCGTGAACTAGTCCACTGAGCATCCCTTGAACTTAAGCTGCTAGCAGTGTTCATGCCGTACGTACAGTTGGTGGCAGAGGGTATGATTAAGGCAAGAGGGTAACTGACGGAATTATAAAATCCTAAAAGGACATCGTTGCTTACCGCTGCACCACCGCTAGTTGTCCTTAGCACCGACACAGCGTCTGTACGGCTGATCCGAAACCGACATCTCAACCTCACAGGCGGCGCGCAGTGTGGGTTCCACGTTGCGGGCCTTCAAGCCCACCATCAAGGAGGTGGTGCAGGTGTCGCAAGAGCTCAAGGGGACGCTGGAAAAGGAGCTGGGCATTGAGGAGTTGCGGGATGCGGCGCGACCCACGGTTCGGCCGGCAGAGCTGGGCATGTCCGAGAGTGAGTGCAACCCACTGCAGGGTGCGGGGTGGTGTTCGTGTACACAACATTTACCCGCTTTTCCCTAACTGACCTTGCATCTCTCTCCCTAACTATACATCCTTTCTGCACTCTCTCCTTTCTGCACAGCTGCTACTGTGTGTGTGTTCCGCGGCTATTTTGCCTTGGTTACATATGCAAAACACATACATACATACATACATGCACACACATACGGGTCGCATCATTACCCGCACGGAGGGAATCTTCCCAGACACGGCGGTGTTAGCCCTCCGCCCTCCTCCTTCGGCAACCTGGCGACCTCCTCCCCGCTTCTTAGTGTACAACAACAGTTTTGCGGGCACGGCACACACCCTGAAGCACCAGCTTAACGACCCCGGCTGGTGACCCCAGCTAGTGGCTCGTCCGGCTGCTCCGGCCAGCTGCCCCGGGGCCGGTGCACCATGCACACCACTAGCAACCTCACACACAGACACACACACACACACAACTTAGCGCTCGTCCACAGCAACCCGCACGCGCTCACTTGCCCGCACTTTTGTCCCCCTCTCCTCTCCTCTCCCCAAACTCCCAACCCCCACCCCATGGAAACCGTAAGATCTCGCGGGGCCCGTGTCGGACCCCGTGGCCAAGGTCATCGATCCGGAAATTGAGGCCAAGCGAGCGGCCTCGGCACAGATGGCGTGGGGAAGCGGTGCAGCAGCAGCCACAGCCGCAAGCAGCAGCAGCGCCTCCGAGGCCCCCGCTGCGGCGGCCACCACCACGGCTACCCCCGCTTCTATCAGCTTCCCAGCTCCAACAGCAGCTCCTGCTGCCGGACCCGCAGCAGTCAAGGTAAGCACAGCCGCGCGTGGAGCCTGTTGCCGCAGCTATTGGCAGGGGATTGGACTGGGCTGGACTGGGGATGGAGGTGGGGATGGGGCGTTGGAAGGTATTATCCGCTGACAGCTTTGCGCAACGTGCTGTTAGCTGCATGGCGGCGTCGAGGTCCTCATCCTCAAGTTTCAACGGGGAGGAAGGAGGAGTTGCTGCATGAGGGAGGGCTTCGTGGTGGTGGGAAATGTCACCACACCGGTTAGCGGTGTGCCTCGCGGCCGCTCCGTTCGTACAGCCCCAGCCGAGGACGAGCAGGCAGGCAGGAAGCCGGGTCGCGGCTAGTCAGTGTTACCTTTTACCTCTTGTTGTCTTTCGCTTCCTTCCTTCCTAACATGTGATGGGGACTTCCTGGGCGGTGTTGCTGCTTGCCTGACGATCCGAGACGACGCGGTCCCTGCACCTTTTCCGCAGGATATCGCCTCAATGAGCATGGAGGAGCTGGAGGCGGAGCTGGCACGCAGGCGGTCAGCTGCAGCTGGTGTAGACAAGCGGGCTTGAGGAAGATGATTGTGGACCGGTCTTCTGATGCGGTTTATTGGTTGGTGGCGTTGTCGAGGACTTGGTCTCGGACGGACCGCACCTATGGCCACGTGGAAGGGACTGACGTTTTCGCTGGTCGGGACCTGATGCGTCATGGTGGCGCAGGTGTCTTGAAAGTGCCGTCAGTAGCAGGTTGCAGCGCGGTCATGCAAGGTGTCTGGACTTGGTATACATTACGTGGTGTAAATGATGTCGGGGGGGACCCGGAGGTTTTCTGGGGAGTATGCATTTTTGTACTCTTCTTCGTATTCCTGGAAAATATGGCACACAGGGTTGCCAGGAGGAGTGATCGTGTCTTTGGCAGTTTGAGATGAGAGCGTTTGAGAGTTGGGCTCGTCATGCAGATGATGAGCACTGTGTGGGACATGGCGTTAAGGGGAGATGCGTCGTCGATCGGGAACAGCGCGTCCAGTATTTATATGATAGTTCCGGTCAGATAGGTGCTCCCACAAGTAGAGCATACGGTCCTTGTTGTGGCATCATATACTTGTCAAGCAGGATCGATTCCTACGATCCTCCTCAACATGATAAATATTATCAATGACAGCACAAGCCATCGGCATCTTCTCCCAACAGAGTAGAGAAGCGAAGCTTTATCAAGTTTTCGCTGCAGAATTGATGCCGTGGTAAATAATGGTAGCAAAGTCCAAGCAGGGTAAGGGAAAGAAGCAGCCACTACATAATACATAATCATCACTTCCCGCAAAGCAAGTACTAGGAATTTGAGGAATCGTAGACACCCCGGTATTCCCGGGCCCACACATCAGCCTTGTAGAGTTTGACGAGCTGCGTCACGCACCGAAAAAACATTCCCTACGCTTGAGGAGCGCAGCGTAAGGGAGGGTGAGCTAGGGTAGGGTCGGCTAGGGCTAACCAAAGGCATTCTCGGTCGCGTCTGTTCACGGCCAGCTGTAAGATCCTGACCGTACAGTACGTGCGGTACGACATACGTAACCAACCCACATAGCCAAACAACGCGGGCCGAAACGCAGTCCAGTTATCACCAGCCACGACCTTCCTGTGTTTATGTACAGATACCGTTGCACGTAATCTACATACATGCACATCCAAGTGGAGTAGGAGAAATGGCCCAGAATATGTACGCCATGCTAACTTTAAACTCTTCGGCGTTGAAGAACAGCGGAAAGAGAATTCGCAAGAGTGGCAAACAGGCCGCCGACAACAAGCTGTGCAAGCTCTGCTGATGACGTACACTACGTCGTGTACGGCACCACAATCGATGGCCCCACCAGTCGAGCCATATCTATTTCACATGTCATACGTGGCATTGATTACGGGCTGATATTCTTCAATTCACTCACCAACCAACTGCTCAGAGCCGCTTCCTACAGCACCGCACCTTGGATAGCCCCCCTGGCGAGCCCCCCTGTCGTAGACACCTCCAACGGCCTCTCGATCACAGCCTTCGCGACCCCAATGCCGCTCAACCACCCCGCTGCAGTCGCCCAATCACCCAAATATCATCCAACTTGATCGCAAAATTTCAATCGCTAATTCACAAAGGCAAAGTCCCTACAGAGTATGCAGGTCTAGCAAAACGCTGTCGCTGTACATTTTATATCACCGCTCGTCGCTGTACATTTTTTGTCACCAGAACGCACTGCAATTTAATGTAATGCAAGGCCAGCACATGCTCTTCATCAAGAGGTGCAGCAGCAACAACAAAAACAGCTTCAAGAGCTTTTCCCGGCGGTGCACAAATTCCCCCCTTCCGGCGGCACCACTCAAAACCCCGATTGCCTCTTCCACTTGCCTATATACATCATACATGGACCTTCCTTCCTGTGCCGTCTTCCACCCCCGCCACACACACACACACACACATACCCTCGTTTACCGCGTCTTTTTAGTCACAAACCCAGAACGCCATGCTCCTGTTAAGCCAATACGAAAAATGATCTTCAATGTCACGCGCCGAGGTTCTCGTTCACGCACATCAAAGTGAATACCGCGTTTTGCGCGGGGCATCAAACAGCTGTGCTTTTATAATTTCTTCATGTACTCAGCTGATTCATCATCCCGTCAGAGCGGTTGCCAAAGCGTTTGCGGCGCGCTTAATGATGCCGCCTGGTTGCCGCACCGGAACAACTCCGTACTCCAGTACGCGGCTGCTCAAGGACCCATCCACATCGCGGTCATCCAGGCTGTCTTGGCCCTGCTGCTGCTTCCAGGCCTCCACTGGCGCGGGGGGATGAAGCTGGGAGGTGGCCCACACGCCCGCCTCGGACTTCCGCTTCGCCGACGAAGGCCGGCTGAAGAGGTTCCGGACGCCGCCGCTGCTCGGCCGCCGCTTAACAGCACCCACCCCGTCCTGGTCACGCTGATCAGTCGAGGCTTCTGTTGATCTCGCGTGGTGCGAAATCATCAATGAGTTCGGTAGCAGTAGGTTTGTCAGCCGCCGCAACGGCGTCGGGGGCCTGTCCGAGCCAGCTGTGTCCGTGACTAACGCTGCTGCAGCTGGTATTGCTGCGGCTGGTAGTGGGGGTGGCGGTGGTGGTTGTTTTGTCGCCAACGGTGCACCGGCGCCTCCGCTGCTTGCCGATGCGCGCAGCATACCGCGCCCGCTACAGCCCGATATGCGCGGCTCAACAGTAGCTACAGCAGCAGTAACTGCTCCTGGTGCTCCAACCGCATCAACCAGCAGCCGTGGTCGTGTAGCGCCGCCGCTAGACTGCGGCACCCCCCCTGCATAGGTCGAGTTCTCTCGTAAACTGAGCCTCCGCAACAGCTGCCGGCGCTCCGGATCCACGTCTACACAGGGAATAGCAGCGCTCCGGGGTATGGAGGGACAGAGCTCCAACTGTGCACGGCCACCTGATTGATTAGCCACAGTGCCTTTGTTCGTAGCAGCCGTAGAAGGGGCAGCAGCACCAGCTGCACTGTCAGAAGCAGCCTCTTGCCTAGCGGACGGCGGTCGATATCCCAATGTCAGGCTGCTAAGTCTGCGGAGCAGCCCTGATTTTGGTCGTGTGGAGCTGCCACCTTGAATGTCACCTTGCATGCGGAGCTCCGGACCGTCCTGCCGCGCAGTTGAGGTATCGCTGCCAGATGTCTTATTGATGTTGTTATTAGACGAGGACGAGGTTAGGGGTTCTACGGTTTGCGCAGCACCTCCGCTAGGGGTTCCGCTGCAGGGTTGGCGCCCAGATGCCGAACTGGGTCGCGAGGCAGTCGCGGTGGAGATGACGGGGTTACCGCTTGCGTATACATGACTGTCAAGCGTTGATGTTCGTGAAGCAAGCAAAGGCTGATTCGGCGCTGAAATCGACTGGGCAAGTTTCGCCATCAGCGCGGCACTCCCCAATATGCTAGTGTCCTGCACCTGTGCGGCAAAATGGATGCAGAGAGCAGTTGGTCTGGGGACAGGAAGCATACATTCATACTCATCTCCCATGTAAGCTGGCCGGGGTCACAACGTCCGCTCAACACTGACAACCCTTAAACCTAACGACCATACAATATGGGCGCCACACCTTCAAGAGCAAATTTATCATTTCATAAAAATAATTAATCCAAGGACACACCTTGAAGCTGCTGCTACTCCCCAGCTGCCTTACAGGCGGGCACGCGGCGGCACCGCATGACGACAACTTGGGTGGGTTTGGCCGGAGGACTAATCCATCATCATCTTCTATGATGTCATGGTCAGCCAGATCATTAGCATAAGTTGCGTTAACTACGGGCTTCTGCATTTCTCCAGCGGCAGGCTCAACCGCAGATTGAACCGGAATTGCGCAGTAATACTAACTATTTTATGCCTGAGATGGACAACATTACATATTAAACACAAAAGGCCACAGTATGTCCGTTTCTCCTCGACCAGTGAAGTTGCGGTTCGTAACAGGACCTTGCCAAGATGGTTAGCCCAAATAATCTCTTGGGTCAAAGTATACGTCTATAATGGTCTGAGCGTCGCCTACAGGCATAAAAGAACGCAACGCATTTACGGAACTGTTTTTAACCAGGCCCAGTACCTTCCGTCAAAAGTCAGTGGAAGCAGAGTTCGTTCTGTTAGAGGGATTGCTATTAGAGATCCACATTAAAGACCGCATCCTAAACTCCGAGACCAACTGAGGAATGTACGACACATACTTTAGCTTTAAAGAAGATGCTTGCACCGAAACAAATTATTTCTGATAAAATAATGTCCAAGCGCCTTTGCCATATCAGCGCTACAGGCGTTTGTATGCCCTCAGCTTCATTCAGCTCGACCAACCGAAGCTTGCAGTATGTCTTACCTTCAGCAAAACCTCTGTAGGAATCCCTAACAAGCCTGTAATGATTACAGCCTTGGCTGCTGACAACCGTAAGGTTGTTAGCCAATACAGGCTGTAATAATTACCAGTCACTAACAATTCTATAAGTACCCGCGCTCCGAAATCAGCGCCCGGACGGACACAATAACGCACCTACCGAACATAGCTAGCAGCGTATACAACCTGATACAATCTAAAAACTAATAAACTAACTCCTAACTCCCAGATCCCGACACCTCTTTCATGGCAACAAGCACAACCAAAACCTTCTCCAGCCAACAACGCGCCGCGCCTTTGCACCCGTGCTGCCCCTCCCCTTGCGAGCGCTACTCCCGAGCTCCGAGACTTAACGGCCCCGCTAGCGAAAACTCGCTAAACTTGACCAAACCAAACCAGGACATGTGGTCTGTGAGCACTAACGCTTTTTGCTCCCTGTGGCAGTGTTGTTGACTGACTTCATGTTGGCTCAATGGAGCCTCTGTAAAAAACACCGGAAAGCAAATCCACATAGACGACTTTGTGCATTACATTTCAAAGCGACCACACTATCGGAACACAGCGCCGGTGGATCAATGTATGCCCCGAACTCCCCTCCTTACATAATGTGACCTCGTTAACCCCGCCATCCTGAGGGGCCCACCACTGACCAATCAGGACTGCTGTGACATCGGAACACACAACACATTCCGAAAGGCAATCAATAATGTGGAGAGAGCAGCTGGAGAGAACCGGGGAGTAACAGGGTCCGGTGTTCCTCCCTCCTCTCCCCTAAGCTTCTTGTGGGAAAAGGAATAACAAACTCCAACTACCAAAAACCACCAACTACCGGCCTATCTGGCTCCCAGGCAGACCTCTCCTCTTGGTGTGCTGCTCTCACACCCCACAACACCCCACAACACCCCACAACACCCCACAACAGCAAAAAAACGTGCCGGGTCTCTGTCTCACGCTCCCGCTCTAGTCCCACATACACAAATACACAGCTTTCTCCCACCCCTCCCTCCCCCCCTCCCCCCCCCCTTTCCCCCCGTCCTGCTCACAGCTGCACCCCCGCGGGATGGAGCTCCCGCCTGTCCAGCAGATACACGTCCGTGGGGTCCTGCCAGAAGAACAGCAGCCCCGCCAGCAGCGTGTAGTTGAGGAAACTGAGCAGCCCGAATACGACGCACGTGTTTAGCAGCGTCACGTTGAAGGGCGCCCCGTACTGGGAATGCCACGTGGACAGTGTGGGCCCGTAACCATGGAACTGTGGCGGGTAGGAGAGGAAGAGGAGGGGGAGGGGGAAAGGGGGAA